AAGATATTTTTGGCATGTCAAAGTGCCTTTCGAAAAGATCATTTTTTCTACCGTAAGAATGAAACGATTTTCGAAGATATAAAAAGAACTGTCCTGCGCAAGAACGTCTTTTGTATAATAATAACAAAAAATATAAGTTGGCTCTGAAATTATTTTGCGAATTGTTTCTCGAACAGAAATATTAAGACGTCAAACATTGTCAGAGATATAGGAAAAATCGAGAAAGAGGGAGGGAGAGAGAGAGAGAGAGAGAGAGAGAGAGAGAGAAAGAGAGATGTCAATGTAGAATTACATCGAATTCAATCTTGACTTTCTGGGCCGCTGATCATACTGGTAGAAAGGTTGATTCGAAGTTGCAACCGGCGAACGAACTTCTATTGCACAGAAGGTAGGATACGTTAAGCCTGACGGTAGGATGCGTAGATGGGTGGATAGGGTAGTGAGTAAGGGTTGAGTATGGAAAGGGATGAACCTAAGGCAGGAAAGCTGCCGTTACAGCCGCCAATGCCGCTGGAAGCGGCACTGAAACTATTTCGAACCAGTTTTGGTGAAGTTTGCCTCGTCCGATAACTATTCCGGGCGGAGAGCAATGGGCATGGGAGCGTGCCGCATACGTGCCGAAGTTGGAGGGTACGGTTTACCGCGCGTCATGCAAGTTGGCTCGACCCTGAAACACGGAGTTTCGATCTGCCTCCGCGAAAGACGTTAGAGTGGAAGGCTCTCTCTCTCTCTTTCTCTCTCTCTCTCTCACTAGATTTCTCCGGCCGCTTTACACACTCGACCGGCCTGGATTACGTGAAACTGGCATAACACATTCACCAACGACGTCGCCTTGCCGTCTGGAATAGGAAGGAAGTTTCCGTGCTGGAGACTTGTCCCGAAATTCTCTTCCTTCGATGATCTCGGATTCCGGACAACATACGTCGTCGACTTCGGAGAAGTTCAGCAAGCTGATTCAAACTGACGCGAGAAGAATTCGTCGGAATTTCGGAAAACAGTGCGGAGATAACGCTCTCTCTTTCTATCAAGGAAGGAAATGTGTTCCATTGATTTTCTATCCTTTATTTCTTTTTTAATCTTGTCAATGAAAGGAAAATATGGATAATCCAGCACCAAAGCGATCGCTGGAGGAGAAAGCAATGCAATAAACGATCGCAATTGGAGGTTGCTTCAACCAGCACACGTTTAGTCGGGGATGCTTCTTCCATAGACGAGAAAGCAGCTCTTTTGATCGGTCACCGCTCTGGATGTTCGAAATGCCGTCATCTATGAGCACGTAAGAACACATACGATTCCTCCTCTGACTATGCTCCTTCCTTTATGACCATTTATGACTACATGAACGCACGGATGTATTTACGATCTTTCGTGTCTATGTATATACATACGTAAGGCTTGTGAAAATAGGTGCGCACGAGATCGAGCATGTATGTTCACCCGTAAGATCGTTCGCTCGTGAGCGCGGATATATGAGAGAGAAGCGAATTCACGAAGCGTTTCTAGGTACTCTCCTTGCAACGGGTCCCTACTTCGGCTAGTAAGAGAGCGTAGCTCACGAAGGGAAAATCCTTTGGCCAGCGAAGCTTGGATAATCGCACTTCGACGTATAGCTATGGTACCGCTTCTATGTGAGATAGAGAAAGAGGATAAGAGATAGAGAGTATAAAAGATAGAGAGAGAGAGAGAGAGAGAGAAAGGAAGGAAAGAGAAGAGGTGGAAAGGGTGAAGATTCGCTTTGCTGCAATTGCAGCTTGCCTATCCACGTGGAAATCATAGCTCGCTACGAAAACCATCAAGACTCGAAATTGTCCAGAAACGCTTCGCGGAATGTCCTTGATAGAACTCCTCGAGGGCTTCTATCGTGATTCGCTACAGAAGGCGACTCTTCAGGGATTTGGACGTAAAGAGAGTTCCTGAAAGATAGATGGAGATCTCTTTGTAATTCGATGTCTCTTCCTTTCTTCTCCTCTCTTTCATCATCTTACATATGTAGCCAAATGTGTATCGGGTCCATTCGCAAATCGAAACCATCCAAGAGTTCGAAGAAATCCAAGTTTCAATGGTTATTGGATATTGATGCCACTGATCTGGTTAGACATTCGTGAAAAGCATTAACTCGATTTTTATTCGCAGATGAGAGAGCGTGCCGCTTTACGATTCGAAAGATCATAGAAAATCGTTTGTTTTTCAATAAAATCGATTTTGCGATCTAAAAATGTTGAAATCCATGTCGATAAACCGAATGCTTTCATATCATAGAAAATTACTTTTATCTCATCTCGATATTACCTAATCCTATTATAATGCGATCGTGAGTGAGAACGAGAACGCAAAATTTACTAGAAGTGGCAAAGTTTAATCGATACGTCAACGTTCTTGTTTCCTTACGCAGATTTCACGCGCGATTAGATCGAGCTTATCGTCATCGAAACGAGACAATGCAAACTCTGTGGCAAATGCGCCGTTTATTCGGTGATCTGTTCACATTGGCAAGCAAATTTCTCGATGGAAGGGAGAACGGGCGTAGCTCGTGAATAATTTAAATTTAGATTGCAAAGTTCATGGGGCGCACGTTCCAGATTTATCCTCGATATCCGGACGATGGCATAGAAACAGCAGACCGAGGTGGAAGCGTGACCACGATTCGATGACAATATGAATGTAATAACTAACTGGCATGATAAAGCACGTCTGTTCGATTCTCGGTTTACTTCGTTTTAAATTCCTCGCTACATGCAACCGGTAAGACTCCGAAACTACGATCCTCTCAGGGGTCAGGGGTAACTACCATAGTGTGGAATCTAAAAGTGTCTGTATGTGTGAGAAAGAGTAGCTCAAGTTTAAGGTATGAGGTTCACCGTCTTACACTAGATAGAACTCGGATGTCATCGCGAGAGAGATTACGTACCAGTTTGAAAGAAGCTTCTACCTCTCTTCTCTCCTACCTCTTTCCTTTTTGTGCCCACACCCTCGAGCTGGTTCAGCGAGCAGCACTATAGCCTTAGTGCTATAACCCTTCTCTCTTCCATCTTCGCTTTAACTCTCTCTCTCTCTTTCCCTCACTCTCTCTCTCTCTCACTCTCTCTCTCTCTTTTGGTCGCCCTACCTCAGTCTCGTCGCACTTCACGTATTATCCTCCTTGTCGTTTTCCATTCGTTACGATGTGCGGCATACCGCACAACCTCCACCCTTATTCCGCCTCTTTCTTATTCGTTCCATCCTACTCCGTTTATAGATCACGATTTTCCCTTAACCCCGCTCTATCATATTCGACCTCTTCCTCCTTTTCCAGGCAAGTCGAATTCCCATCACATTGAAAGGAGCCAGCTTTCATATCCCATTTGCCCCTATTTTTCATAAGCGATATTAGAATCTATCACCGAGAGCCGCCAGGCATTTGTCGACGACGAGAATCGATGAAGAAGGGTGAGAAAATGAGAAAGAGAGCAAGTGGGATGGTGCAGAGGATACCGATAAAAAAGATAAAGAGAGTCCCGATTATCGGGAGGGTCGGCTGCCTTGATCGCCAACGATTATCGACTCTATTGAAGTTCCGATGTGAATGAATCCAGAACAGAGTCAGTCAGCTTCTCCTTCGCCTTGGTTCCTTTACTCCCGTCCTATTGGAAAGATGCAAGCGAGTACTGGAAATTAAGTTGGCCTATTTTCCACTCTCGTTGTCAGATATTTCATTCATCACAGTCTCTCGATCCTTCGAATTCTCGATCAATTTTCAGTCAGTTATACGACACTTTTATACTGAGAGCGAAGACTTAATAATGTTCCTTTCTCTTGTCTTTCACATTATCAGCCGATATGGGCGTTCCCTTTACGATCACACTTTTCTTGGATATGCTATTCGATTCTAAAAAATGCACAGTTTATTCCATTTTATATAAAAGAGACAAAGAGAGATAGAGAAATAGATAGATAGATAGATAGATAGATAGATAGATAGATAGATAGATAGATAGATAGATAGATAGATAGATAGGCAGAGAGAGAGAGAGAAAGAGAGAGAGAGAAAGAAAGAGAGAGACAGGGAGAGAGAAAGAGAGAAAGAAAGAGAGGGACAGGGAGAGAGATAGAGGGAGAGAAAGATAGATAGATAGATAGATAGATAGATAGATAGATAGATAGATAGATAGATAAATAGATAGATAGATAGATAGATAGATAGATAGATAGATAGATAGACAGACAGAGAGTGAGAGAGAGAGAAAGAAAGAGAGAGAGAGAGAGAGAGAGAGAGAGAGAGAGAGAGAGAGAGAGAGAGAGAGACTTCAAACCAACGCTTTTTTTCAAACCAACATGCTCGCTACGCGGAAAGCATGATTGGCTCGATCCCAAAGACGTTTTTAAAATTTACGACTCCCAAGGGGCGAAGTCATCAGCTGATAACGTGGGCAGTAAATTTTCGTATCACGCGTAGAACCTTTTTATATTCAATCCATGAAGCACGCCACACTGAAATTGAATTTTCTTTTTCTCCGATTAGCCTTGATGCAGCTTTTACTTCTTTTAACTTCGCGACGAATTTTACCCAATCAAATGTGCAAGATGGTGTCCAATATATTATCAATTTTCGAATCATTTGCACCCATATCATGACAAACGCGACGATCGAATACCCCGTCGAATTAATGTTATTTGTCTTTGGCTACACCGATGGCGCACTGACATTCACGAATTACCGTAATTAGTAATTACAGTTTCAACCCCGGCCGTTAATTACCCGGTTTGATGTTTGCTAGCGAAATGCTGGCATTGTTGATTCGCTAAACAGGTTGAGCAGACTCTCTATGCATTTTCGCCATATTTTCTCAAGTCGTAACATTCTATATAATATATATCTACGCATAACGTATACTATGTACATATAGGTATATATGTATTTTCCATTGGTGTTTTGAACGTCACTAGAGTGCTCCATTTTCGTTCTGTATTCACACGTCATGTCGATTTTGATTGTTACAAAAAGGAACAAAATTTTCACTCACCTCTATGCCTGTTGGTTTGCTTGTCGAACATCAGCATTGCGTCTTCGATCTGAAATTCAAATGAAATTGTTTTGATAAGTATGACTCTCATTTTGAAATATTCACTTTAAAAATAATATTTATCTATTATGTTGTACAGCAATAGTGTTCTTAGTCGAATAGAAGAATGATCAAATCGAAATTGATTTCTTTCTTTCTTTCTATTTGCTGGATTGACATGATAACTATAACTCAAAATCAACGATGAAATCGTAAGAAGTACGAGGGATTCGATGAAGGGTGATAGAGAAACAAGATACTTTGGTCTAGACTGCGAATCGTAAATTAAGAGGATTGATATTGGTTGGGATCGTCTGTTTGGATTTGTCGTTAGGAAACCAACCCTTTCCCCACATTAGGGACCTGAGCGACCCTCTTTGGAAGCCGCAAAAATTGTAAACATCATCACTGATGTGGAACACGTACAATATAAATAGGAATATTTGCGTGAAAATGTTTGCAAAAACCCTAAGCGTTATTTTAACACTTTACAGAACGTATATGAAATTTTAATAATTGCGTAGTGTATGTAAACGTAGACACAGTTTTTAATATTCTATAAGAAAATGTAACGACGTGTTGAACAAAGTCTGAAGTATTTATTCGTCATCTCTTACGATACTGTCCTAGATTCAAGCTGGTACCTTAAACTTTTTCTTCCTTTCTTTCATTTCTCTTTGTCAGCGTTCCTAGAGCGGTTAAGTAAACATGACACGCATCGATGCGCACACACGTATGCCTTTATCACCGAAGCCACAAGTTTTATACGTGTAGTATAACGATTTATCTTTTACGTTATTTTTCTATTCCATCTTTTTACTAGAGAAAAAGAGAAAATATTTTCACTGTTACAGCCGATCTTGCTTGTCTTGATTTTAATAATAATAAAAAGAAAGAAAATTTGGTCGAATATCCCTCAAATTATTTTATGACAAAACTCTTGTAAAAAAATATTGTTGCAGAATTCCTGAAGAAAATTAGACCATCGGATAGTCTAAACCCGAACTCGAATCCGGATCTTACACTTTTTAAACGACTTACAATAGCAAATTTTACTGATATCTTAGTGAGAAGTGAAAAAATTATTTTTGTTATTGCATTTCATTTATAAATTATTACAGCATAACTTTTCATACCATTTTTACCATTAATACCATTTTTCGTTTACCATTAATACCATTTGCAATCACAAAGTTTTTTGTTTTATAATGTGAATTACTTCTTCCATCATTAGTATTCCTTAAAAAAATTCTTTTTAATATACATTTTGGAATACCTCTGAATATTTGGAATATCTTTAAATATTAATATCTATTTTCATAAATATCAACGATTTATATGAGAAAATTTATTTCCAATTATTTAAATTAATTATCATGAAAATTAAAGTTCATTATAGCAATTTTCTTTAATAAACTAGTTTCAGGGTGCAATACTTGAATGAATAATTTATGAAAATTATTAATATTAATTTTAATTATAACAGTTTAACAGTTTTTATTAATAAAATAAATATATAAGAATTGACATTTTCGTTTTGTTTTTACAGCCATTTATGAAAATTCCTTTCTTATTCTTCTTCCGAAATTTTTAGTTGTCAATATTTTTTTAATTTTTAGTTGACAATACAGCTTCATAAGACATTTGTAATACAAATATACCACTCCCATGAACTTAATCAATAGAAACGAACCAAAGTTAAAGAAACGATCACTTAAACCTCATGATATTTATTTCGATTTTCAAATCGATTTTATAAAATATCTCGGTAATGTAGATTGTTTGTGCAATTTGTACGATTTGATTGTGCAGTTCGGTATTTATTGTTTTCTACTTTATAAAGTAATAGTATACTACAAAATGCTATGGAGTCAGTAAATGGAACTTCTCAAACAACTTGCACTTCATTATACAGAAATGAATAGTCCAGAAAACTTGTAGAACGTCTTAGAAGTTGTCCTTCAAGCAGTTTTACGAACAAGTGTAATTATCTGTATTACGTAAAAAATGAATACGTAAAAAATGTTTTTGGTGGCCTGTCAAAGGAAATTACGCGAAGTTTTCGACATTTTATTTTCTAGTCGAAAACCAAGTAGAACACGTGTGCTAGAAATTACAGTCATTTCTGTAATAGAAATCGTTTGTAGTTAGATGGAAGAATTAAATTTTCTACGAGGAAAAGATATAATGATTTTTGTCTTTAATGTGTGGAGGTAAAATTAACAAAACTTTAATACACTGTTAGTATAAATGAGGGCAAGATACATCTATAATAACATTAAAATAACCTGTACTAACATTGATCTATAACTGAGGCTAAAAAGGACTTATCTCGAAAATATCTTTATCATTGAAGCATACGTAGAAGTACCTTTACAAATTTTGCTGGGCCATACGATTCTGAAGATACTTCGACTTCAAGATATGTACTCTGGTCGCTAATAAATATAAATAATTTTAATTTGAGTTAAATGGGGCTACGACGGAACACCAGGAATAAGTGAATATGAATAAAGATTTAAAAATTCCATTATTTGCGATTCAAGTCTATTTAATTCATTCTTCGTTTCATTGCAAGTTATATCAGGTGATTCAAATAATAAAGAAAAAATTGTGTTGTGATAGAATTATCAAACAGCATCGCCAAGATTTTATAGGCTGCTTTTCGAATTAAAATATATACATGAAACAACAAAAATGTTATAGTACAAGAAGTTCAAACAATTGAAAAAAATTAAGAATACCAATGTATCAATAAGTCACACATTGCTATTTACAATGATTGATAAGAAGATATTTAATGCGGTATCAGAAATTTTCGCAAAAAAATTGATCTGCAAAGATTTTAATAATATCGATTTGGCCAAGAAACAAAATATCGAGAACGAATCAACATTGAGATTTGGAATATCGCAGTGAATAAGATTTTTTGGAATACTTACAGTATTTATATTATAATTTGATTATCTGCCAGTGGCAAGTTAGAACGGAAAAGAATAAGAAAAACGTACTGGAAAATAAAAAAAACAGAAGAATTTTTCAGAATTAAAATGAGTTTGTTTATAGATAAACTGAAGCTGGGATTTAGTACAAGTAATGATGGAAATGCCGCTTGCCGATTTTTCAACTATTTTAATACAGCAAAAATTACAAGAATGGAAATAATAAAATATTTTCACCTAATCTTGATGATAATTTTAAATATGTAATAAAAATAAAACTTTAAAAACATATTGCTTAAAAACTGTAGAGAATGTATTCTATTCTATTCTATTCTATTCTATTCTATTATATTATATTATATTATATTATATTATATTATATTATATATTATATTAATTCATTCCGTAAACAATATAAAACATGCAATACTTTCAATTGGGAGAAGAAACACAAGAAAATTGTAACAAAGATAACAACAAATTCAGAGAGCATTTCTATAAAATTTTCCAGAACGAAAATAATGAAAGATATTTTCATTATAGATTTATACATATAAGCAACATGAGAAAAATATATCCCAAAAAGACAAAAATAATGTCATTCAGTTTTTAAAAGAAAAATAAAAAAAGAAGAAAGAATTATAATTAATTAATTAATTAATATTGTATCATAAATATTAATAATATAATATTTATATTATATTAATATAATATAAAAGAAACCACTAAATATAAAATATAATGTATTTTGCATTTTTATACTTAAATATATATAATTATCATCATTTTTATATTTAATTAAAATTATTTTTATACTGAATATTTAACGTTAAAAAAGAAAATTATTATCATTTTAGAGTCGTCATTCGTTATGCAATTTATTGAAATTTATTCCGATAATTTATCAGAGATTTAAAATTATTATTTTCAACTAGGATTTTAATGAAATTTGTCACTGTGCAGCTATTCTAACTATTAAACTATCCAAGTCCTTCGATTTTTTCCACAAATGCCAACTTATATGAAATGGAGATGTTCGCTATTAAATTATAAGTCCAGTTTTTACAGATTTCCATCTCGAAATCAATCTCAATTGAACGTAACGGTCTTATACTCAAGAGCTAAAAATTTGTCTCTTCTGTACAAGAATATAAAAAAATAGTTCATGTCGCATTTAGCGACGGAAAAACAAATATCAAAAATGAATTGCTTCCTCCATTTAAGAGAACGTTTCATAATCTTATGACATTAATAGTAAAAAGAATAAAAAGACAAAGGAAGGAAATCCAATGAATTGGTCTTGAAAACGGTGCACATCACACAGGCGTCACGTCGTAGGAATAGCTTTCTTGGATATCATTCAAGACAAAACGAATGAGGAAGAGGATGCGAGGACCCTCAGGTGAGGTTGATCTCGAGGAATGATTTTTGCAAGAAGACGAACGCCTGTCTCGAAATCTCTGGGAAGATCGCTCCTGTCCTTACGGGAACTACATATGTGTCGTAAAACACAGCTGGCCCGAGATTTAGAAAGCGTGCTGCCGAGAAAGGCAATGCTTTCCTGAATCTCGTGAAGAAAAGAGTAGTAGGTGGAGAGGAGGAAAAGAGGAAGGTTACGGCTACGGTTGGATAGGGGATGTGTTGTCAGATGCTGAAGCGTGGCCTGGACTTGAAGAGAACGAGTGAGAGTATGTGAGGGAGATGGAAAGGCATTGAAAGAGAGAGAGAGAGAGAGAGAGAAGGCGGAGAGAGAGAAAGAAAGAGATAGAGATAGAGAAAGAGAGAGAGAGAGAGAGAGAGAAAGAGAAGATAGAGAGAAAGACGCCGCAGCTAGTAGGATTTATGGGACAGAAGAAACAATAGGGATTACCTCTACCCTCTTTCCTTCTTCTACAGTCGACCCTTCCGCGTTACGTCCACTAGAATTCGTCCTTGTTCTTTCTTCTTCTTTTCCTGAGAAAGCATAGCATGCGCGAAAACGATAAAAGTATCAGTCCTAGGTGGATGAGAAAACGGATCGGAGTTATTGCCAAGATCAAATCGCGTTAGAAAGAAAGGATAGAAAAAT